CAAGGACAGGTTAGTGATCATCTAACTGTGGTATGATGCTTAGTGGCGAGAATAAAGGGGACAGGATAAACAGACCAGCGGGTGAGGCAGAGCAATGTGGCAGCCTTGTCTGTCAGTATCGGCCTGCACTGTATTCCAGAGGATGCCCCCACCATGTCTTCTTTCTTCCTTTTCTTGGCAGCTTGATTCTTTTGCCAAGCTTGGCAAGATTCCATCTAGAATTGCACTAGATTTCTTATTTTGGGTTATAAAGTGGAAAAACTAGAAAACTGAGAAGATGTCTGAGTGTAAATCTGATTTCCTGGGTAGAAACTTTGGAAGTCTCCAATTATGAATTTGAAATTTCTTTTCCTTCTTTCCTTCCTTCCTTCCCTCTTTTCTTTCCTTTCTTTCTTTCTTTCTTTTTTTTTTTGGTACTGGGGATCGAACCCAGGACCTTGTGCTTACAAGGCAGGCACTGTGCCACTGAGCTAAATCCCCAGCCCAAATTTGAAATTTCTTTGCTTTGTTTCAGAGAACTGTGTCTGGTTCAGTCACATTATATGGAATTAACAAAGAAACAGAGAAAGCCCACAAGGATTTGGCACAAGCTGTTTTAGATGCTGAAAAGAATGCCAGGTGAGTTGCTTAAAGTTTATGTAGCATATGTTGTGGAAAGTATATATCACTTCTGAAGTAATATGAGGTCTGCCCAAAAAAGGTATACATCAAGAAAAGAAAAACTTGTATAAATATTTTAATACTAAATTTATTGAGACATCGTGAAGTTAATATAAGTTATAGGCCTGGGGATTTAGCTCAGTGGCATTGTGCTTGTCTTGCAATCCCTGGTACCAGAAAAAAAAAAATTAATACAAGTTATCTTTGGCCTCTACAATTACAAGAGGTGCTCAAAGTGATGGCCATTAGCATCTAGACATTTATTAGTACAACAGACTGTTAAAGTGTGTATATATTTTTTGGGTGGACTCTGTATATATGATACCAACTTCTTGAAAAACACATACAGCTTCTAAAAACACATATACCTTCTTTATCTGACTTTAGTTGATTTCTCATTCTAGGTGGAAAGAAAATAAAACCTGTTTTTTCCCTGGGAGCATGCAGATTGTTGGTTTCAGCATCAATCATTTCGTTGCATGAAGTTTGTAGGCTGTTACTTTCAGGTTTTTTAGGAGAAGATGTGTGAAGGAGTGTGCATAGCACAAACTCTAGAACCGTACTGCTTGTTATGCAACTTTGGACAAGTCACATAACTATTCTGGGCTTCTGTTTGCTCCCATAAAAAATTGGGATTTTAATATTACCTATTTTTAGGGTTATTATGAGGATGAAAATTGTTAATATAAATGACACATTTAGAAT